GGGGACCTCCCCGCCCCCCAGGAACCCGCCTGCCCCCTCCCATTGCAACCTCTTCCCCCCCCGAGCCCCTCCCATTGCAAACTTCCGCTCACCCCCCCCCCACCCCCTCTCTCCTGATGCCTCCTCTGGCCTCTCCCCAGAAAATGTCCGGCCTCCAGTTCAACCTGGGCCCTCTGAAGGAGCCGCTGGGGTTCATCAAGGTCCTGGAGTGGGTGAGTGTGTGTGTGTGTGGGGGGGGGACAATGGGGCTGGGTGCTGGCAGGGACGGGGTGTATGGGGGTGTATGGGGAGGGGTGGGGGTGCTAGTGGTTGGGGGAAGGGCTGGAGGTGAGGAGGCCTGGCAGGGGGGTTGGAGTTGGGGGGCCGGGGGCCAGGTGTGTGGGGGACTGGGTGGAGCAGTTGGGGTACATGGGTGGGACAAGGGAATGGGGAAGGCAAGGGGCTGGGGGATATCTGGGGGGTGGTGGGGAGAAGTGGGGGAAACGGCTGCTGCTCTGGACTGGTCCCACCCCCCGCCCAGTACCCCGGTGCCCCCTGACTCCAAGGGGGCTCTGGCCTGTCGACGCCAGTGGATCGGGCCCCAGGGCTAATGGCTCATGAGGGCGTTTCCTGATCTGGCCAGTGACAGATCTTTCTATGAGCCGATTTCTGGTGCATCCTGGTTTTGGGGTATAAACCCCTGCGTAGCCCAGGGCACATCGCTGTGAGATGAGATTAGGGCCCCGTTGTGCCGGGCGCTGCCCAGACACACAGCCAGAAACAGTCCCTGCCCCAAAGAGTTTCCACTGTGAATAGACAAAGAGTGGGAGGGGAAACTGAGGCACAGCAAGAAAAAGGGAGTGGCAGAGCAAGGGATAGAACCCAGGAGTTCTGTCTCCCAGCCCCCCTCCTCTAACCATTAGACCCCACTCCCCTCCCAGAGCTGGGGAAAGAACCCATGAGCCCAGGCACCCAGCCCCACCCGTCCCCACCCACTAGCCCATATTTTGACCCCTAGGTGATCTCTCTCAGCACCCCCAGGTTGTTCGGCTGACTCCCCCATGCACTGGCACTTACATCAGGTCTGCGCACGGCCAGTGCTTGTGTGAGGGGGATGGACTTTCTTCCCAGAGCTGGGCAGAGAACCCAGCCATCCTGCCTCCCACTCCAGCTCCTTGTCTGCTGGCCATGCCACCCTATCCTGGTGCACTTCCACCAGTGTCATCCTGGGAGGGGACCACAGAGAGGAGGCCCTGACGCTGTAGGGGAAGTTGCGTCCGTTTGTGGGTTTCCGGTGGTTTGGTAATATTGGATGTTAATGAAACAGAGTTCTCCAAGGGGATGGCCGGGGGCTTGGTGGGAAGGGCAGCGCCAGGGCTGGTGGCAGGGAGCAGCTGGGCCCTTCCACCACTGCGGTCATTTGCCTGGCAGCCTGGATCTGGAGGTCTAGCTCGACCCCCAGATAAGGACTGGGAGCCTGGACTCTTGGGTTCTAGTCCCAGCTCTTGAGAATGTGTGGAGAGGGCCGTTATTCAATCTTCTCTCCTCCGTTTGCCTAATCCTGAGTGTTTAAAAAAAAAAAAAAGCCTTGGGAGGTTGCGCGATTGTGACCAAATCCGGTTGATTTGCCTGTTGGCCTCCGAGCCCTTTCCTGGGCCCCCAGTTGTTGTTCCCCATGCCGCGAGGGTGAGAATTGAAACCCATTCTCCTGGTGACCCACGATGGCTCCCGGCGCTGGGCATTGAGAGAGAACGGCAGACAATGGAGGCTAGCTGCGACCGTGCCAGCCTCAGGGCTGCTACGATCGGCTAATTGCAACACTGCGCCCTGGGCCTGCTAGATTTGGACCCAGACAGAAGTTAGCAAAACCCAGACCAAGCTGGTAGGTTCCCCAAGCCGAGATCAAATCCCTGTTGCGCTAGGTGCTGTACAGACCTGGAACACAAAGACACTTGTCCCCCCGGAGCCCATGTCTAGCCTGAGGCTGCACCTGTACACTGCAGTTTTATAGCCCCGATCTCGAATCAGCTGATGCCAGCCACCCCTGGGTGTTTTATCTATACTCCCACATCTGCCAGCTCTGGGACTTGTAGATGATTAAAGTGTAGCCTCTGTTGTAGTTTTCATCACTGTTTCTCCGGGGTTATTTTCCGCCCTCGTGCCATCAGAGGGAAAGTTGGCTTTAGTTTCGCTTTCTTTCTCCTGCAGCATTGGGAAAACGGCTGTTGCTGGACAGCCAGGAGGAACGGGAAAACATTTTCTCCTGTATGGTGTTGAAAAGTTGAATCGAAGGCATGCTCCTGTCACCCCTTGTCGGTGGCCTTTAAAAGGACCTGGGGAAGGGGAAAAAAAGCCAGGGCTCGCCGAGCAGCGCCAGCTGTGTCCAATCCCAAGTCAGCCCCGCCAAAATCCCAAGGTTGGGGGTAAAAAAATCACGAGATTTAAAAACAAACAACAACGCTTGTGTTTTGTAGTTGGGGAGGCTGAATCTTTGCCACCCGTTTCTGACCTGGAGTGGCCACGTTCGCCAGATTAGCTCCCCAAAGCTGGAAGCCTGAGTTTCAAGGCGAAAGCTGGGATTGTGTCCTGACTCCAGGAGCTGGAGATTTACGAAAAGCCCCCCAGGAGCAAGAGGTTTGCGAGAATGTTGCCAGAGACAGCAGAGTTGTCATTTTGCTGATTGAAAAATAATAAGCAGCCCCATCTCCCCTCCCCCCAATCTGTGCAGCACCTGGCCTGACGGGGCCCCTGATCTCGGTCGGGGGGGTGGGGGTCTGTGTAGTGCCTGGCCTGATGGGGGCCCTGATCTTGGGGGGGGGAGGTGTCTGTGTAGTGCCTGGCCTGATGGGGGCCCTGATCTTGGGAGGGGGAGGTGTCTGTGTAGTGCCTGGCCTGATGGGGGCCCTGATCTCGGTCGGAGGGGTCCGTGCAGTCCCTGGCAGGACGGTGCCACGATGCCTGCCTGGTGCAAGGAGGCACGCTTCATCGAAGGGCAGGGCCATGGTGCCATCCGGCTGAATAAAACCACTGTATGGAAAGCAGCAGCCGTGCTGGCAGAAGGCAGTGCCCCACGTTGCTAGCTCCAGCCCGCACGGTGCCCTCGGTGCCTCCTGCTCTGCCCAGCTGGCTGGAAACAAGAGCCAGCAACACCCAGTAACCACTATGCCCTTTCTTCTTTGCACCCACCCCACCTGCGTACCCATCACTGGGCACGTGGCCACTCCCTCTGCCTGGGCCCAGCCACTTGTAGCAGAGCGGCGCAGTGGGATGTGCGGAGATCGTGGGTCAAATCCTGGCTCTCTCTCCCCCGCCCCCCCGGCCTGGGGCAAATAGTTTCATCTGTCCCGTGCCTCAGTTTCCCCAGCTGCGACGTAGGGTTATGAGCTGTACTGCGGTTATGGTGCTAGGCGCTGTACAAACGCAGAGAAGGGAGACCCGTCCCTGTCCTTGGGGGGATTTTTGACAATTAGACAAAAGCCAGATCAATACCTACCTAGATTGATACCTCACCCGGCTAATTGGTGCTAGCTGCTGAGGGTACGGCGTGCTGGCATCTCTGGGCACAGTTCAAAACCATGCCCACAGAAAGTCTATGCCATGTCATCTGCCCCCCTGCAAATTTTACTGTTTTGCCCAGTTTTTATTCATTGGAAAATCTGCCGTTTTGACTGTTTTCATCCCCTTCTTTTTCCCAATGGAAGATTTGCAAATTTGGCCGCCTCATCTCAATCCTCAGAGCGGGGCATTGACCGTGAGCGCGTCTCCGTTATCCTGCGGCCGGGGCAGACACAGCGTTGCGTTTCCATCCTTTGCCGCGTGGGGCAGGACCAGTGGCCCGGTGGGGATGTGATCTGGGTTTGCAGCGCCGACGCAGGCAGCCGGCTTCTTGTGGCTGCTTCCTCAATGCTGCTGGGGGCGTGGCGGGGCTGGTCTGTCTGGGAGGAGTGGGGGAAGAGATTGTGGGTCTGCTGGGCTCTCCCCCCCCCCCTCCACCTCCCCAGCCCTAACGTGATGAGAACGCGCTAGCCTTGTGCTTTACCTCATTCTGAGCCCCCTGTGATGCCCACCTGCCGTGCCCAGCGCAGCCTCTCTCCCTTCCAGACTGGCGACGTGTTCCAATGGGTAATTACTCTCACCGCTGTGGAAAAGGGCAAGTTTATTTTGATCACAAATCAGAAAAACATTGATAACTTCCCCCATAAAAGTGTGTCACAAAAATGGTCAGTTGTAGGCTACAAAAATTTTTTCCAGTAAAAACATTATGGTTTGGTTTAAAAGTTAAGTTCAAGTTTTCTAAAATCAAAATTTTGAATTGAAATCCATTCTCAGTAAACATTAGTTAAAAAACCCCACACTTTTACGTTAAAATTTGCAGTTTGGGGTGAAGACTTCAGTTTGCACTAAAAATGCTCTGGTTTTGTTTTTAAAAATTGAGTTTTACTTTTCAAAACCATTTTTTATCAAAAACTGCTCTCAGGAAAACATTTTTTGGTTTAGCTGAAAATTTGCACTTTGAGATTTAACTTTTCATTTTTTCAGTTAACAAAACGTTTGAGGATGGGGGAAATCAGATTTGTTTGTTAATTCCAGTTGGAGTTGAATTGGGGTTGGAGTCTTGGAAATACCGATCTCAGGAACATTTTCAATAACACCGTTTTTTGAAAACGAAAACCCTCCGTGTTTATTTAGTTGGATTTTTAACAAAATACGAACATGTTACCACAACCCGTGCTCCACAATGGAACCATGTGGAGCTGAAAAAACAGCCAGATTCTCCCGGGAAATTTTGAAGATTAAAAAAAAAAAAGAAAACACACCCTAGGAAAAATTTGCAAACTTTCCCCAGGAAAACCTTTTTTGGCCATTCGACCCCCTGCCTGTACAGCTGGCAGACACTCCGTAGTGGCAGAATAACGCAATACAAGTGAACGAATTGTCAGCCAGGGGATCTGGCTCCAGGCCTTGAAGGTCACGGCCAGGTTTAGTAACTAGAGGAGCGGCAGATTCCAAATCCGGGCTGCGTGAGCACAGGGGAGTTTTGGACATTGTCCCGCTCGGAGTGATTCCTCCTTAAGAAACCTTGCAGAACTGGAGCTGCTGGCACCATGTGCCGATGGTGCCCAGGGCGGGTGGGGGGGGGGAACTAAGCTGGCCAGTACCCCACCGACGCCGGGCCTGACTGGGAGCAAGGGAAGCTGAGTGCAGTGACTACAGAGAGACGTGCCTGTTCTGTGGAATTCACTGCAAGGCTCAGAGATCTGCGGCCCGGCTGGAGGCTTTAAGCGAGAATTATTATTTCGATGCCAGCAGCTAGGTCGTCCCCCGGTGTACTCGGTGCCACAGTGATCCTGACCGGGATGGGGGACCCCTTCCCCCTGGGTGCCACACAGACACACACCCCCTCGACTGAGATCAGGGATAATATCACGCTGGGTGCCACACAGATTTTCCGCCCTCCAACCGAGATCATAGAATATCAGGGTTGGAAGGGATCTCAGAAGGTATCTAGTCCAACCCCCTACTCAAAGCAGGACCAATCCCCAGACAGATTTTTGCCCCAGATCCCTAAATGGCCCCCTCAAGGATTGAACACACAACCCTGGGTTTAGCAGGCCAATGCTCAAACCACTGAACTATCCCTCTCCGAGACGCGGCACAGACTGTCCCTGACTGAAATCGGGCACCCCCTCATACCAGGTGCCACACAGATTCCCTGCCCCCATCCCACCCCTGACCAAGATCAGGGCCCCTGTCGTGCCAGGCGCTGCACAGCCCCCTCCGCCCCCCCATATGACCGAGATCAGGGATCTCTTTGCACCTTGCTTTAGGAGGGATGGTCCAGTCTGGAAGGGAGAGAGGTTTTTCTAAAAGCTCTGCTCTAGGAATTATCGTGGGGCAGCTCTCTGACCTGTGTTACACAGGAGGTCACACAAGATGATCACAATGGTCTCTTCCGTCCTTGGAATCTGTGAATCATTAAAATTTCCTTCTTAGTAGAAATGTCATTTTCCATGGGGAGGAAAAATGCGTTGATGAAAATATTCCAGTCAGTGTAAGTCCCTTGGGAAACAAGAGTGACAGAAGTGGAACTCAAGCTGTGTGTTAACTTCAACCTCTTGTTTGTGTTTAGCTTGTGAATGGGCACAGGGAATGGGCAATAGCTCCGGACGTTAGCAGCTGTTAAAGAGGAGGGGCGCTGTCCCAGCTGTGGTCTGCTGAGTGACCTGCAAGTCACGGTGACATTCTGTGCCTCAGTTTCCCCATTGGTGATAACGTTGTGCATGTTCCTTGCCACAACCATTTGAGATCTGTGCATGGAGAGCACATGAAGGCGAGGGATTATTCCCAGACTCTGGCAAGGTCTGCGGAAGCCGGGAGGGGTGTTGAGAGAGGTGTTTCGTCTCCAGTTAGCTGTGCCAACAGAAAGTGGTGTGGTCCTTGGCCCAGACTGCCAATGGAGCCAGATCCCCATTGGAGTCAGTTTACCCTAGCTCACGATCTGGCCTCTTCTGCTTTCAATTTTCATTAGAACCGTTTTTAATGGGCCAGGTGGCAGCAGAAAATTGACCCTGTTACGATCAGAATCGTGCTGAGAGTTAGTGGCGCATGCCAACCCAGCTGCTGTTCTGCTGGGCGAATGCCAGCGGAGAGTGCTGGGATCAGCTGATGCGAATTGTGTGCACCGCTGGCGTTCCTTAACGGGACCCTTCTGACACTGGCTGGAGTGCATGTGCTGAGCTTGAAATGGAGTTGGGGCGTCGAAAAGATCGGGGTTAGCTCAACCCCCAGATAGGGGCTGGACGCTGGAATCCCTGGGGGCGGTTCTCTGGCCTGGGCTCTGCAGGAGGGCAGGTTGGATGGGCACAAATTCCAGACTTGAAATCTACGACTCTAATGCTGTGTCTCTCCGTGTCTCTAGATTTTTTCCATCTTTGCTTTCGCCACCTGTGGAGGGTACAGTGGCCATACCTCCATTAAAGTCAGCTGTTTGGACACTAAAAATGAGACCCTTGAAGCGGCTTTTGGCTATCCGTTCCGGTGAGTGTAGCCCTGGGCGGACAATCGGCTGAATCTGTGCTCGTGACGGGATGCGGTGGCCAGCGGGGCTAACGCGATCCCGAGACGCGGAGCAGAGAGGTGGTTATACCTGCAACCACTGCTGCAATCCCATGGTCCAGTCCTGGTGGCTGCAGTTCCGGGAGGACGGTGTTCACAGGAATTAATTCAGGGACATTCTCTGGCTAGTGTGACGTAGAAGGGCTGGCTGGCTGATCACGGTGGGCCCTTCTGACCTTAGAATCAATGAATCATTCCCACATGACCCTTGCTTCCTCCTCCTCCTCCTCCTCCTCTGCATTCTCCCAGCCCCTGGGAACAAAACACCCTGGGACTGGCTTAAACATCACAGGTTGTTTTTAAACAAGCAACCAGCGTCAGGCTAGGTCTGTTCCCCTCCGGTTTTTTAGCTTCTAGGGGGCTCGTTTCCCATCCCCCTGCCCCAACTCTGAAGATAAGTCATTTTAATAGAGATTCTCCCAGAAATGCCATGACTCCGGGAGCTGGAGATGGAAGGAAAGGAAAAGCCCCAACTATCACAAGATGCACAGTGTCCGGTTGGATCTAAAGGGTGGTGGTAGTGGTGGGGGGGTGAAGTCCCAGTACGGCATTGGAGAGACAATGACTTGAGACTGCGTCCAGCTCTGGGGGGCCGCCTGTCAAACAGGACATTGGGAAATCAGGGAGGGGTCAGAGAAGAGCGACGGGAACAAGCTGAGGGCTGGAAAACCTGACTGAGAGCAAGACATTAAAGGAGCTGGATCTAGTGAGTTTCTCCCAGAGAAGATTCAGAGGGGACTTGAAACCGGTCTGTCAGTACCTCCCTGGGGAGGAGATTTTGGGGAGCAGAGGGCTCTTTAATCCATCTGACAAAGGCAGAGCGAGAACTGACGCATGGGGGATGAAGCCAGACTGGAAATAAGGAGGCAAATTCTTAACAAGGAGAATTGACCCTTGGAACGACTGCCCCAGGGATGGGGCCGATTCTAAATCCCTTGGAGTCTTTCCATCGAGATCTGACATCTCTTTAAAAGCTGCCCTATCAGATAGGGACTTGAAATCTATGAAAGGGCAGAATTGAGGGGATGCATGCAAGGGGTGGAGTTAAGGGCATTCAACTCCCAGATCTGGACTAGAACCAGGGATCCTGGAGGAGTTTCTACGGCCTGGGCTATGCAGGAGGGCAGAGCGGGTGGGTAGATGTGGATCTTTCGCCCCAGAGGTCCAGCACTTCGTCTTGCTGGTGTCAAAGTGAAACGCTTCAAACTTCTCTTGTCTCCGCTGGCAGGCTGAACACTGTGTTATTCAAAGACCTGGATTCAAAAAAATGTAACAACACATGGCACCCGACCCACCTCGTGGGCGACTTCTCCTCCTCGGCCCAGTTCTTCGTCACCTTCGCCGTCTTGGTCTTCCTCTACTGCATGGCGGCGCTGGTGCTGTACGTGGGGTATCTGCATCTTTACCGTGGCGCTGGCAAGCTGCCCATGATCGTAAGTGACATGTAACCTTTTGCTCTTAATGGGGGCTGGGAGGGAAATTGGGAGCAGTGGGGCGGAGGGGGAATCTCCTGTGGAGAATTTAGACAAAAATTGAAATCTTTATTCGTTTTCGTGGTGGGAAAAAATTGACATTTCACTGAAACCTGGAATGTTTGGATTCAAAATGACATTGCGGTGCCTCATGAGAGCTGTAGTCCTGATTGCCTCGGGTTCCCATTCTCCCCTATGGGTTGGGCTCTTTAGCTGGACTACATCTCCCATGATGCACCACTCCACCTCTCTTGCTGAGTCACTGTGGTGCATTATGGGAGTTGTAGTCCTGGGTGCTTCGTGTTCAGTTCTCCGTGGGCCAGGATGCACCCTTCCTCTCATGTTCAGGAGAGGGGTTGTGTCATGGGTGTCTGTGGCTGCAATGCCTCATGAGAGTAGTTGTCCTGGGTGCCCTGTGCTCTCATTCTTCTCTATGGTCCAGGCTCTCAGGCTCCCATGATGTACCATGTCCAGAGATTCCTATGACACAACCCGCCCAAAGGGGGAAGAGTGGCACATTGTAGGAGATGTAGTCCAGCCAGAGTGTCCAGGCAAGAGAAGAGAATAAAAATGAGATACCCGAACTACAACTCCCATCATGCACCATAATGGATCAGCAAGAGGCGAGGAAGTGGTGCATCATGGGAAATATGGTCCAACCAGAAAGCCCAGCCCATAGAGAAAAATTGGCTCACGAGGTATTCAGAACTACCGTTGCCATGGTGTACCACTATGTCATTTTGAATCGAAACGTTTCAGTTTTCGGACAAACAATTTTCACTGAAAAGTTGAAATTCTCCGTGAGAAGACGACGTATGTTACAAATAATATTTTGGTTGAAACAACAATTTTCTGTCAAAAAGCAGCTATAACAAAGAATTTTCAGTGAGCTCTACTCTTAAGCCAGGAGTGTCCTGTAACCTAGATCTCCAAGCGCTCCACAGATCTGCTCAGAATCTTGGCATTGCCAGGTTTTTTGGGACCACAAAAAGATTAACAAACTCTTTTTATTGGCCAGTGTGGAAACTTTCATGGGAAAATCTTTGATCAAAATTTTCTTGCTGTTCAGCTACATTTTTTGTTTATTTTTAGTGGGGAAACCTCCCGTTTTAGAATCCTAGACTATCAGGGTTGGAAGGGACCTCAGGAGGTCATCTAGTCCAACCCCCTGCTCAAAGCAGGACCAATCCCCAATTCCCCCCCAATCCCTAAATGGCCCCCTTAAGGATTGAACTCACAACCCTGGGTTTAGCAGGCCAATGCTCAAACCACCTCCTCTTTTTAAAACCATTTTTCCCCTTAAAAAGAGGAAAAACAACAGGCTAATTGCAATGAAAAGGGTTTTGTGCAATACACATCTTGGCTTTCTGAGGTCGAGTTACAGCACAAGAACGTTTTTTGCTTCGTTGGAGAAAATCTGCCTTTGGTTTTTCCCTTTTGCCTTGGCCTTTTAAAACGTTCTGCTTGACGGGTTTTGTTTTCTGATGACACTTTTCAGCAATTTTTGTTTTCCCAAAACACCATGCTTCCGTCAATGGGCCGTAGCTCCATTGGAGTCAATGGGGCCAGATCCCAGCTGGGGGTCAATCGGCCGTCACTCCATTTAGTCCAGTGGATCTGTGGCGATTCACACCAGCGAAGGCTCCGCCCAGTTGTTCTTGCGGTGATCTGTGTAATTCCTGGCTCACCCGCTGGCTGGATCCTGGCTCTAATTAAGAGCCGTGAGACCCAATCTTTGGCACAGTGCCCTGGCTCCGTGCTGGCGTGTGAATCAAAGCCCCTGGCTCTGGACGGCAGAGGGGTCGCGAGCGGGAGAGGATTATTGTAACTTGATAAACAGTTGCCCCTTTTCTCTTCTCTCCCTGCTGCGCCGCCTCCCCGGAGGGCTGGGAAATGCGGTAAGTGCCCGGGCATCTCCTGCTGGTCCCACATTGGTGCTGATCTGCTTGCCCGGATACGTTATTCAAGAGTAATTGGCAAACCCCAGCTTCCAAGCGTGGGGTGAGGGGGTTGTGGGAGGAGGAGGGCGGAGGGAAAATCCTGATTGTATCAGAGCTCTGGGGATGTGTCCCCAGAATGGGGAGGGCGCAACAAGATCTGTGGGGCACTGTCCCCCTTTCCCCCCCCAGCATTCTCTAATGCAGCTAAAGTTGCAGCGAAATCAGGGTTTGCCAGGAACAGCTTCCCTTAGCAAGGAGGGGTGAGCTAGCAGTTAGATCCAACTGGAAGGCAGGAGACCTGGGTTCAAGAGCCTTGGACAGGGCTTGGGTGAGTCCGTGCCTCAGTTTCCCCATCTGTAACATGGAGATAGTGATCATTCCATTGTCTGTGTACGTTGTAAGTTCTCTGGGGCAGAGACTCTCTCTCGCTGTGTGTCTGGGCAGCACCTGGCACAACAGGGCCCTGATTTCAGCTGGGTCCATTGGATGCTACCAGAATAACACTAATGGGTTGTGCTCACCACTGTGGCGCTTCCTGGTGGTTGCTCCAGGAATTAGCTCTGTCCCTCAGCAGGGCGCCCTCCCCTTGTGGTGTCTCACTCACTGTCGCTGCTTCTCCACCGTCTCCGCTGTCTGTGGGGACCCACGTCGCTCCCAAACTGCAGCGTCCTCTTCAGGGCACGGCCCTGCGGCTTTGCCCCAACTCCGTTGTCTCCCCCCTTCCGGGGGAACCGGCAGTCCTTGGCCTGGCCTGTCGCTGCAGTGGCCAACTGCAGCCCCTAGTCCAGCCCCTCGCTCGGGCAAACTGCAGTCCTTCAGCAGCCAGTGGGGCAAAGGGGAGGGGGGGGGGGCAGGCCCGCCTGCTACTCTGGGCCCTGACCTAGGGACCTTATAGCTGGCAGCCACTCACTGCCTCTCCTTCCCCTCTGCTGCTACGTGCTTTCCCTGGGCCGTTTTCCCTGGGCCACCTCCCCAGCACCTATTCGGCCCCTGTATCAAGGCCACAGTTGGAGCCAGCCAGGCTGGAGCTCCGCTTGTTCCCCTGACCCTGCCCAGCACTGTTCTGTCCCAGATACTTCTCTCCACAAGCAGCCAGTCCTTCTCCCTCAAGCTCCAGGGAGCGACTGATTCCTCTCTGGCCTGCAGCCCTTCTTATAGGGCCCATGCTGGCCCTGATTGGTTGCTTCTAAGCCTTCCTCTGATTGGCTGGGTTCTGCGCAGCCGCTCCAAGGGCTGCTATTAACTCTTTGCTAGCCAGTGAGGGGCAGCTGCCCCATCACAAACACCTAAGGAATAGTACTGCAGAGAAGAGAAGTGATGAAATTAATCCTGAACTTTTGTGAGCGGATGAAGCGTTTGCAATGAGTGGCATTTTTGGCCAGGCCTAGAGCCTAGTGGCTTGATTGCCGGGGGAATTTAGCGCCTTGTGCGATCCTTTGGGAATCCAAGCCTAAAGCCAGAGTCTAGACCCGGGGCTGCATGTTGTAGCTCGGGGGGTCCACCTCCCGTGTAACAGAGGAAGGTCCAGCTTCTCTACTGGGCTGCTTGTGAGAATGCCGTGGGCTCCGCACTGCTCAGTCCAAAGAGCCGGCTGGATTGTTTTGGGTGCCCGACTCGTGACACGGTAAAAGGAGACGGGATTTCAGAGAACGCCAAGTGCCCGTCAAAACCAGACTCGCCGCCTGGCATCTCCAGTTGGGCACCCGCAATCCGGAGTCTCTTGAAAGCACTTGGGAGGCACGTGCCAGGCATTTCACAGACCCCCCCCCCCCCACCCTCCCTCATGACTGAGACTGGGGGCCCCCAACCGGGCTGTTCAGTGCCCACATCTCCGCTGAGCGGCCCCAAGCCCCGAGGTGGAATCGACACTTATGTGAGTTCAGTGGCTGTGCGAGGGTGTGGCCTTGTGTGTCCATCACCTGGTATAATAACACTTCCATCATTAAAGCCAGTGGGGCTAGACCCAAAGCTGGGGTCAATGGGCCGTAGCTCCGTCGGAGGGTTGGCCTCAGCGTGTCCATTGTAGGTGCCTGGGAATCTGTCCCCTCCATTGTGTTTCTCTCTCCTGGTGGCCTTCGGCTTGTAACTCCCTGACCCACCATCTCCCCCTCCTGCAGGACTTTGTGATCACCATGGTGGTCACGCTTCTCTGGCTGATCAGCACTTCGGCTTGGGCCAAAGCCCTGACTGACATCAAAGTATCCACCGGGCCTGCGATGATGTCGGATATACTTTTCTGCCATTCGGCCCCAGATTCTTGCCTGTTCGGTGCAGTGAGCAGCATGGGCTCCCTCAACGTGTCCGTGGTACGTATGGCCGGCGCCCTCCCCTCCCCTGTGCCGCTGAGACACGGGGCGGGCCTCCCTTGAAACTCAGGGGCGTGTGCTTGGCACCGATCCCGTGGTCGGAGATCTTGTCTACATGGGGACGCGAAGGGAAGTGAATCCAAATTAAGAGTTTAAATTAGGGCCGTCAAAAAATTAAAAAAATTAATCGCAGTTTTAATCGCATTGTTAAACAATAATAAAATACCATTTATTTAAATATTTTTGGATGTTTTCTACATTTTCAAATATATTGATTTCAATTACGACACAGAATACAATGTGTACAGTGCTCACTATATTATTTTTGATTACAAATATTTGCACTGTAAAAAAGATAAAGAAAGGAAATAGTATTTTTCAGTTCCTCATACAATCTCTTTATCGTGAAAGTGCAACTTACAAATGTAGAATTTTTTTTTTACATAACTATTTTATTTTTGAGTGCAATGTAAAACTTTAGTGCCTACAAGTCCACTCAGTCCTACTTCTTGTTCAGCCAATCGCAAAAACAAACAAGTTTGTTTAAATTTATGGACGGTAATGCTGCCCACTTCTTATTTACGATGTCACCTGAAAGTGAGAGCAGGCGTTCGCATGGCACTGTTGTAGCTGGCATTGCAAGGTATTTACATGCCAGATGTGCTAAAGGTTCATATACCCCTTCAAGCTTTGATCACTGTTCCAAGGGCCATGCGTCCATGCTGATGACGGGCTCTGCTCGATAACAATCCAAAGCAGTGCAGACCGACGCATGTTCATTTTCATTATCTGAGTCAGATGCCACCAGTAGAAGGTTGATTTTTGGTGATTCAGGTCCTGTGGTTTCCAAATCAGCGCGTTGCTCTTTGAAGACTTCCAACAGCATGTTCTGTACCTCGTCCCTCAGACTTTGGAAGGCACTTCAGATTCGTAAACCTTGGGTCGAGTGCTGTAGCTATCTTTAGAAATCTCACATTGGTATCTTCTTTGCGTTTTCTCAAATCTGCAGTGAGTGTTCTTAAATCGAACAACATGTGCTGGGTCGTCACCTGAGACTGCTATAGCATGAAATATATGGCAGAAAGCAGTTAAAACCACAGAACAGGAGACATACAATTTCCCCCCCAAAGAGTTCAGTCACAAATTAAATTGACGCATTTTTTTTTAACAAGCGTCATCAGCATGGAAGCGTGTCCTCTGGAATGGTGGCCGAAGCATGAAGGGGCATACGAATGTTTAGCATTTCTGGCACATAAATACCTTGCAACGCTGCCTACAACAGTGCCATGTGATCAGTGACATTGTAAATAAGTGGGCAGCATTACATAAACAGAAACAAACCTGTTTGTCTTAGCTATTGGCTGAACAAGAAGTAGGACTGAGTGGACTTGTAGGCTCTAAACTTGTACATAGTTTTGTTTTTGAGTGCAGTTATGAAGCAAAAAAAAAATCTACATTTGTAAGTTGCACTTATAAAGAGATCTCACTACAGTACTTGTATGAGATGAATTGAAAAATACTATTTCTTTTATCTTTTTTACAGTGCAAATATTTGTAATAAAAAAAAATATAAAGTGAGCAGTGTACACTTTGTATTCTGTGTTGTAATTGAAATCAGTGTATTTGAAAATGTAGAAAAACATCCAAAAATATTTATAATAAATTTCAATTGTTATTCTTATTGTTTAACAGTGCGATTAAAACTGCAATTAATTGCAATAAATTTTTTTAGACAAGTTAATTTGCTTTGCTGGCATCACTGAAGTTAAGTGCAATTTAATTGACAGCTCTAGTTTGAAATGGATTGGTTCCTGTAGGGTGTTCGTAGAGGGTTCAGAGCCGGAGAAGAGAAGTTATTTTACCTCTGCGTTTGGCACTGGTGCGACCATTGCTGGAATCCTGTGGCTGGATCTGGTGTCCATCATTCGAGAAGGATGTTGATCAGTTACAGAGGGGTCAGGGAATAGCCACAAGAATGATTAAAGGATTGGAAAACCTCCCTTATAGTGATAGACTCAAGGAGCTCAATCGATTTCTCTTAACAAAGAGAAGGTTTCAGTGGTGACTTGATCCTCATCTTTAAGTTCCTACATGGGAACAAATACTTGATCATGGCTCTTCAGTCTAGCAGAGGAAGGTCTAACTAGATCCAATGGCTGGAAGTTGAAGCTAGTCACAGACTGGAAATAAGGTGTGACTGTTAAAAATTTACAGTAATTCACCCTTGGACCAATTTACCAGGGAGTGTGGTGGATTCTCCCTCACTGGCACTTTTAAAATGAAGGCTGGATGGTTTCCTAACTGATCTGCTCTCGTTCAAACAGAAATTAATTCAGGGAAGATCTCTGGCCTCTGTTAGACAGGAGGCCAGACTAGCTGATCACAGGAGTTTGTTCTGGCCTTAGAATCTATGAATCTCGGAGAGTGGGTCTGAGACCAGATTGTGGATTTGATGGAAACTCGGAACTGGTTAAAATATGCATGTTCTTATTCTGAATTAAAGTCACCTTCATTCTTAAGTCATAGTGATTTAAACTAAACTCAATTAGGACCACTCTAATTCAGAATGAGAGCATCCACGATGCGGTTTAACTAATTCACTTTAAATTCACACCAGTGAGGACTTGTCTACACTTGAAATTTAATTTGGATTAAGGCTGGGTGTGAATTTAAAGCCTTGGTTATTCCTGATTAACTCCATGCGTGGATGTTGTTGTTCTGGAGTACGAATGCCTTGTCCTGATTTGGCTGAATCCACACCGGTAGCCACCGGGGAAACCATTCAGGAGTAGCAGTGGGTGAAATTTTCCAGATGAAACGTCTTTTGGCAGAAAAAGCAGATTCAGTTTCCAAACATCCGTCCCCCAATAAAAGAGTTTCTAAAGCGAAGTGAGTTTGCCCGACACCATTTTTTTCGACTTTTCGGTTTCACCAGCAATTTTGAAAAACGTTAGTAGTTTTTTCTCCTTTTTTGAATTACTGGTGAACTGAAAAAAATCTCATTAGGAGCTGCTATTCTGAAGTAACTCTGTGTGTGGACAAGCCCTCAATTAATTCAGATTAACTTTCCTGACTGTCCCTATGTAACCAAACCCATAGACTGGCGGCGTCTGGGGCAGAGACTGTTTTGTTTGGTTTGTACAGCACCTGGCGCAAGGAGTCTTAGCCATGCCTGGGGGTCCCATATGCTACGATAGTACAGCTAATAAATGATCTAATAAACACTTATTAAATGAAGGAGCTTGATCTATTTAGTTTCTCCCAGAGAATGTTCAGAGGGGATTTAATCCCGGTCTGACAGCACCTCCGTGGGGAGGAGATTTTGGGGAGCAGAGGACTCATTAATCCAGCCAACAAAGGCAGAGTGGGAGCCGACAGCTGGGGAATGAAGCCAGACAGATCCAGATTGGAAAGAAGTGAATTTTAGTCACACAGAGGAATTGACCCATAGCTCAACCACCGGATCTGGGTTTGAAATCTACAAAGGGGGCAGAGTAAAGGTCATGCATGCAAGGGGGCGGAGTTAAGGCACTCTAGCTCGACCATCCGATCTGGGCTGCAGGCAGGATTCCCTGGGGAAGGTTCTCTGGCCTGGGGCTATGCGCTTGTCAAGCTGGGTGGGCTGAAATGCTCCATGTAGAGCTGGAGGGGGCGTCTCCCAGCTGAACCAGAAGCTGACCCTGGAAGCTAGATACTGCAGCTAACCCCCCTCCTTTGGACCCCTTAGGTTATCGGCTTCCTGAACCTCATTCTGTGGGCAGGCAACGCTTGGTTCGTGTATAAGGAAACCAACTTGCACAATCCCCCAGAAACTCCGGCCCCAGGCGGCACTCCGGCTCCCGCGGGAATGTAAACGGCCCCGCTGGGACGCACCAGCGCCACGCACGACCCCTCGGCCTCAACTTGGCATCAGCGCGGTTCATCTGTCCTAAGTGTAGTCACCGTTTCAACCGGCTGGGGGCGGGTGGGAATTGCAGAGACAGCTCGGCTTTCAATTGTGAGCAGGTGCCTTTGAGTTTTGACGGCAGCGGTGCTTTCACAGGGTGTGGCGGTGGTGGGTTGGTTTTGTTTGGGTTTTTTTCTGCTTTATTCTACTGAAATATTACCCTGGTTGTCGGCAAGGGAGAGGGGCAGCTTCTTCGCGAGAACAGTGGCCTGGCAAAATATCTGTAGTGTCTAGGGCAGTAGTTCTCAAACTTTTGTATTGGTGACCCCTTTCCCACTGAGTGCGATTTCCCCGGCCCCCCCCTTATAAATTCAAAACACTTTTGTATATATTTAACACCAGTATAAATGCTGGAGGCGGAGCAGGGTTTGGCGTGGAGGCTGACAGCTCGCAACCCCCCATGTAATAACGTCGTGACCCTCTGAGGAGCTGTAACCCCCAGTTTGAGAACCCTGGTCTGGGGTCCTAGCCCTTGGCTGGCGTGACCCAGCAGCGCTCTGGTGAACCGAATAGCGCAGTTGGCAGCGGATTGGCATGGAACTATTGATTGCAGATAGGGCTGGTGCGTGCAGACTGGTGCAGCGAGTGACCGATCGCAGAGAGAGCAGTTGAGTTGCAGACGGGCACAGAGAGCGATCTGTTGGCCAGCTGTAATCAGTAGATCTGTGCTAATTGGGACAGATCTAGAGCGCGTGCATGTCAGTATCAAGGTGTTCATTGCAGCAGACTGCTGCTGATTTCTCTCAGCTGAGTGGCTGGCCCTGCATTTCAAGAAGTGCCTTTTGTCTTTTACACCCCTCTGATGGGGGACGGTTTGTATCTGGGGCACATGGCAGGGAGGGAAGCTGCATTTGAAATACACTATTCTCACTTTGTACATGACACACACAACTTCTCTTGGTTTGAAAACCTGCGTTAGCACCAGGCTTCCTCTGTCATCGACCCGAACCGATTCTTCGTTACAAAGACGAGCTTCAGAATCTCAGCGTTCGCTCGCTCAGGGCAGAGCCGGTCGGGAGTTTTTTGGACTAACCGTTTTTTCCCCACTGCAAAATGCAGACTCATCGAAACGGAAACTTTTTCAAGTTGGGAGATTTGTCCAAACCAAGCCAGATACGCCACGCTCTGGGTTTGGAAGAATCTCCTGACGCAGAAAATGTATCGGAGGGCAGAAAGTTTAGAAATTGTCCACACCTTCAGCATGAAAAGGTTTGGGGGTTTTGAGTCGTCACTTTTGGTTTGAAATTTTAGTAAAAGTGGGCTTCAAAAGAGCTGACCTCAAAACAACACTTTTTAAAATCATGGAAATGAAATGTTTTGACCCCAACTGAAATTTTTTCTGTATTTTTCAACTTACCAAAATTGTCGAGATCTGGGTTTTTCATCCCAAATCAGGACAGGAAAACTTGTTGATCTCAAAAATTCTCTCCTCGCTCTATGAATCTAAACAGAGGTTTGGAGAGCGCTACTGCATTTTTATTTTTGGTTCGGTCACTCTTGTATATTTCCCCTCCCACTATTAGCTTCTAGGCTTCCCGTCCAGGGCTGACTTTTAGCAGACGCTTTCCCTGGAGTTTGAACATCACACCTGGCTGATTTGAAAGGGAGCTCCTGGCCCCGCTTCTCTCTGCCTGCAAGTAAAATCTCTTTTGCATTTCTCTCTGTTTTATGCTACGTGGCTGCTTCCAAGATGTACGCCCTGTAGAGCAAAAGCCTTCTCTGCATTCTTCTCAGCAGAAGACAAGAAATCCATCTCTGAAGTTAATTGTGTTTGAGTCTGATTGGTAGACAAGGAAAAACTATAGAAGGAAGCAAACTTGGCAGATCCTCAAGCGGCGTAGATTAACTCCACAGTGAGTGCCAGTTTAGACCTGTGGGAATCTCACTTTGCTAGCTACCCTTTCCCATTAGGACAGGTTTCAGAGTAGCAGCCGTGTTAGTCTGTATCCTCAAAAAGAACAGGAGTACTTGTGGCACCTTAGAGACTAACAAATTTATTAGAGCATAAGCTTGAAGTGGGTTGTAGCCCACGAAAGCTTATGCTCTAATAA